TTATTTTTTAATGTGCTGAAGACCTAAAAACATTATTTTATGCTTTTTTTTTTGTCAAAGTGAAAATTTTTATCAGAATTTGGAATATTTACATGTCAGTCGTTCCCATCACGAGTCTTTATTTACATCTTCACCATCTTTTGAGTAAAATATCAGAACACAATTAAGTACTGGTATTGGATGCAGCTTACTTTTATTTTGTTTAAATTCCCTAATTTAGTTTTTTCCTTTAATTTATAAAGTCTAATGTTGTAACCTAACCTACCCTTTCAGAGACTGTAAGATACACAAGTCTTTCAGTGCCCTTCTGTCTACTTATTGTATTGTGCTTGCAGCTTTAAAATTGTTCATCCTTTTTATTTTTCCTGTTCTTAATTGACTTCTTTTGTTTATTAAATGTTGCTATTCAAACATGTCTTCCTGTAAAGCCTGTCAGCCCACGCTCATTGCTTTTTTATGTATTTTTTTTTTGATGAACTCTGTGTTGTTTCAATATTTTCCACCCTCCTTCTACGTTTACATCTGGTCTTTTAATTTATTAGACCTTTCTTTTTGTGTTTAGATTTTCCTTTTAAAAGTCTGTGTAACACGAACTAATTCTCTTAAAGACTTGTTTACTGTGTTTCTTTATATTCTGCGTATGCTGTCCTATTATTCTCCGGCCTCCTGTTTGTGCGTGTGCCCACATGTGTGCATTTACTTTGTCTTTTGTGCGTTTTCTGAATGTGATGTGAGAGCAGTTGAGGGGCTCTTGAGTGGAAGCCTGGATCATGAGCTGAATGGAGTTACTATGACACCAGACGCAAGCACCTCAGCTCCTACAGCTCCCTCTGTTTCTCCGTCCTCCCCTGCTGCTCCACTCTCAATCAGTCTGGATTTGTTTCATGTTGTTTCTTCTCTCCATTCCGTCTCTTTTCTCTGCCTCCCTTAGTGTCTCTATACAGTCTTTCATTTAGTCGAGCTCCTTGCGTGCCAGTCTAGATCAATGTAACAACACTTTCTTGTTCTTTCTCAGTCACAGTTTCATTTCTTTCTCTTATCTTTCAACAGACAACCGCCGCGCAGTCCTGGAAAGGTCCCGTTCACGCCACAACGCAAATCACCAAGCTCGATGATCGCCCGCGCCTACCACAAGACGCTAGATAAGTGCCAAAGAGGCCGGCGAAGTGGGGACCTGGAAGACAACTGAAGGAGGGACGGATCAGCCCTCACTGTGGCGCACACACAGACACACACTGACGAGTACTCACACATACACACACAGAGAATCAAATACGGACAACACAGAATGGGAAAATCTACAACACCTCACACATAAGTAACTTCCATGATGTTCATCTGACGCCTTACATATTTATTCCATTCTTTCTCATCAGTCTATACGTTCCTCTCATGTCCAGATGGTTTGATTTATAAAAAGAAAAAAATAGGGTTTCTGTTTGAAAAGAAAGCTTTCATCGCTCGGAGGGACGTTTTTGATTCAGGCTGGTCTAGGCCGTCTCTCATACATACTACACTTCACACAAAGTGTTGACATGAAACACGGTATGTGTTGAAAATAGACATTCTGCCAAGATGGACTGCAACATAACGTCTGCTTATCATACCGCACGCAGCATATTCATCAGAGACGCAGCGGGCCAGCTGTCCGGTACATGGACGACCAGGATTGAACACAAATGTTGGCAAGATGACAACCTGCTGACGCTTTCTTGAACGAGTCACTGAACTTTAACAGAGGACAAATAGTTTCCTCATTATAATTCTTTTTCTTCTTTTAACCGACATCAAGATCATTCTCACCGGTTCATGCTCACAGGACTAGTTTTATTTCATCACATATCCCATAAAGCCACAAGAGCTGGCCCCTTGTCCGTGCTGATATTTCAGAGCATGTGACTCGGGGCCCTCTGAACTGTTATCTCCATTTTTTGACAAGATGCATTTTATTTTTAGTTGTGTAATATCTAACCAAAGCCTGGGGGGTGCTGATCTCTGTCCCAAGGTCGCTTTTGCTGTTAACATGAGACTGACACATTTCTAAATGCATACAACTGCCTGGAGGAGCCGACATGACCCTTTCACCTTTCCTGCGGTAACGCAGGTTTGCAGTGAGGAAGGCTTCATTAAACAGAGGTATTATTATGATTCTTTTAATGTAAATTCTCTTGAAATCGTGTGTTTTTACTTAAATGCTCTAAAAAAAAGGTCAAGAAATCAGACATAGGAGTGTAAATGCTGACAATTTTGTTTCCCGTAGAGTTTTCTGTCTTATTTCACCCAAATTGTCCCCAAAATCTGCTTTAAAGGAGAACAAACAGAGCCAAGCAGCTCAGAAACTCACAACTGAGATTGAAATGGATGAAGTGATATTTTCGATCAAAACATGAATGTTTTAAGCTAATAGGAGCAACAGGACATGTCTTATTCATGCATGCAGAAGCCTTTGGGGGGAAAAAGCCACTGAAATAACTAAGAGAATCTGTGGTGTCAGGACTACCAACTGCATCATGTAATTAAAGACTGTGTTAACTGCTAAACATCTCTGTCCTGGTGAAGCTACTTAGCAGCAAAACAAAGACGTGACTTTCACATAGTTAAAACTTTGCTGTGAGCTTAGTTTCTCTGCAACCATCACATTTTCTTCACGTGAACTATTTATTCATATATTCATGCCTTGGGCAGCCCTGTCCCCCCACTGCCCTAAACTGTAAGCAGATGCTACTAAAAACAACCACTGAATCCACATGGAGAACGGGCACGAGCAGAATTATCGACTAAAGGGGGCACAGAAGACAAGATGATGCTTGTCTTAGCGAGCGAGTCTCCAAACATCCTCCAATTCCCGGGCACTAAAGGCATAAGTGACCCTTTTACCAAAACACAAGTAACTTCAGTGATATCATAACTCCGCTTTAGGCGCTCTTTTGTTTGCGAGTGATTTTAAGGGTGTGTGTGTGTTGGTATGCCAGCTCAGTAATCGTAACAGGAACCCAGGCAAAAATAGGATTCAGTGTGCTTGACTCCTGGGCTGAAAAGATGGAGATTTTTCATTTAAACAATCTGCCAGAGCAGCTTGTGATGTGTCTGTTTCATGATGCCTCCTCTCCCGGCCTGCATGCTTCTAAAAAATGCAATTTTACACATCATCTCGGCTCAAGGTGCATTCACAATGCTCAGAGAAGTCTGCATATTTACGAAGACAATAATTCTCCCCTGAATATGAGGTTTGAGCAGTCGCACAGAGACAGAGAATGAGGTTTCTGCATAAGGGATTCTGCACAGAGAGGACTTTTAGAGACACGCCGCCTGGAGCAGATAGAGGTGTGCCATCAGAGGTGATAATTTACCTTCTATGATCACAACTCACCTTTTGTTCTCAGCACCACAACACATGTGCAGTGTAAAGTTTGAGTAAGACTTTTTTAATCAACCTTCTCTGGTGTTTTACATATTCCTAATTGGATATCGTGCAAGCTAAAATAACCAACACTTTTGGTTGATGAATCTTATTTTTAATCTATGTAATCGTTTTGATTTGACTGAAAAAAAAAAAAATTGTTACCCTTAATTGAATAATTTATATTTTTTTCCACCTGTGCCAATTTGTTTTGTGGAAACACAGACAATAATGAAATATTCCTCCTTTTTTTAAAATATATGTATTCAAAGGGAGTACAGGTCTCTTACTATCCAAGTACAAGAAACACTGTACAGACACTTTAAACTCCGATTGTTGAATACGCATTGATCCTTTAAGAGTTGATTTTGATGTGGATATGAAACTGTGTCATGTGCTATTTCTTTCAAAATGATCTGTTGAGGATGTAATTTATTTGGATAAAAACAAGCTTCTGTTATGACACCATTGTAGACCATAATGAACTAAGAACAACAGTGTTAGCCATTGTAGAAGTTCACACGCAACAATGAACACTAACGCTAATTTTCCTAATAATGCAGTATAAACCTGATATGGATCGTTGAATTGCCCACACTTGGTCCGACAACACTTAAGAGTGGAAATAGCACGACAGCAGTTAAAACATGAGAGCAGATTGACTTTTTCATCAAGAGATAAAAAACAGAAACTTCTACAATGACAACATTCCTCATCATCCCTGTAAGTGATTGTTGTATTTCCCTCCCATTCCATATGTAGGATATTCAAAGTGGAGTTTTTATAGAGAGTAGGCGTAGAGTCTTGGTTTTTTAAAGAACCAGAACTGCTCCATCATTTTAGTGTGAAAACAGGCTTCTGTAAACAGAGGCCAATCATCCATTTGTCTTTAGCTTGTATCTAACAAACCTGAACCCATGATATAACTTGTGCTCATGGTAATTGTGAGACAGAGGAGGCAGGGGTATGAAAGAATTGTCAAAAACTGCAAAAGGTGCCATTTTGGTGGTGAAAAAAAAAAGTTTGCTATGAAACTTACACTTACTGACTGTGCACTTTACCTCACCGGATATTCTCCTCAGGCAGAGGAAGAGTTGTCGGAGATGTTTGAACATGACTTTGCCGCTAACAGAGTGAACTATTTGCAATGTATTCCTTTTGGTAAATAGTTCCAGCTGCCACATATCCAGTTCTCTCCTACTTTGTTAGTGCTTACTATTGATTTGTGGAAGACCGATTGCGGCTGAATCAACAAGCAAACGCTCATAACTGTTGACAAACCCTGTCCGACCATGATGTGTACGCTGCCATATCCCTGCCTACCCTCCTTGTTGTCATTGAGTATGTTTTATTGTCTTAAAAAACATTTATATTTGTAACATTTTAAGTTTATTTGTATCCTTGAGAACATGAAAAAACAAAACGGTTATGCACACTGTCCTTCCATAGACTATGTAATGGAATATGATACTAAATAATAACCACTTTGTATAAACTGATTTCTGAAAGCTACCCTTTGTGTCGCAGCCCTGTCTTTTTTCTTCAGTTGTTGGTGTTTTTTTTGTCTCTAAGCATTCAGGTCTCAGTTTGCTCTGTGGCAGGGCCGAAGATACCTGCCCTACATTGACTTATGGACAGGGATTACAGAGAGCTCTCGGTGTTAGCACATGATGAATGGGACAGCTACTACCTATAAAAGCAACATATTTGGACCTGGGTGTCCCTACTGCTTTATCTCGCACAGTGACAGAGGCAAAGTGATAATGCTGTCATGTCCAACAGCAGCTTAGGGAAATTAATACAGAGTTAGATAACACATATCCAAGAAAATTGCCCTATTTAATCTTTTTCTGGACCTAAAAAAAACCCTCTATGACCATAAATTCCCTCTGCCTAAGTTGGAAAATGAGAAAATACAGCATAGAAATTCAATTTTTGTCGATTATTTGATACATAAGGAATTAAAAAGATAAGCAGGGAAATGTTTTCTGTCAATTTCATGGTCACAAAAACAAGTGCTGTGTCTGATTGTGTTACAGGCAATCTGATCTTAAACAAATCGATGTGAAAGCAGATTTTACTCCACTGAAATTCATCTCTGTGTTTGCGTCTGCACATGAAACAGAGAGCTGCGTCAAGTCTGCTCTTTCTCAACTGACGTGAGCCTCCCCTGTCTGAATCCCAGGAGTGAGGTTCAAATGGCAGGTCAGAGCTGTTCCTGTCCTAGCCTCTTAGTATAACGCCAACCCCCTCAATACACCCCCCTTAAACATGCTCAAATCCAATAGCGTGCTCTCCCTGCATGTGCCATGTCCCACTTCGCTGCTGCAGCATGACATCATAAAATAAAGGCTGACATGAGGAAGTAACCCTGTGCCACGAGGGCCTCTCTCACTCTCTGAAACACACACACATAAACACACAACGCTTCGTTCTGCAATCTTGGGACTGATCTTCTCCGAGTCTCTCCTCCTCCCAGTGTGCAGCCAGACAGATGGAGATTCATCTCTCAACAAGCTGTGATCTGTGTTTAGAGATGTGTGCTGCAGAACACAACTCTAATTAGGTTTATTGTTGATCTTGGGAGGTTAATTTGTACTTGGCTGCGAGTAAACATGCTGAAGAGGCCAACCTAGTTCCTTACGACACACCGGCGTTGCAGTAAGGAAGAAAGAAGAGCAGTGGTTTTTATCTTCTTGACTTTCCAGGTGATTCAGAAAGATTACACCGCCTGCGCTATATTCGTCTGCTCGGGTTTAATTGCGCTTTGTACCAAGGGTGAGGGATCTGTCTTGGTTGGGATGCTGAAAAGAGGGATGAGCTACAGCGTTTTCGTCTAATGAGCTTACAGGTAAAGTTGTGTGTATGTTGCAGGCACAACTTGTCTGTTTATTCTGTCCTGGGTGTTGTTTTTATTCCTAAAACCTCCAGGTAAGTAGTCCTGTCAAACTCTCAGAGATGATCCAGGCCCTACAGAGGTTGTCCTTAAACTCTGCCCCCCCATCTCTTCTCACTATACACACTGGTGTTTATAGTAATTTATGATTGGTGACAGAGCAGTCGTCAGCGAGGGTGCAGCACAATTGGGGGGCCGCGCCGACACAGCAGGCAATTGCCCTATTGAAATAGCAGGAGTTCTCTATTTTTGTTATTGGTAATGAAATGGCGCTATGAAATGTCTCAAAAAAAAAAATCTGTCATTTCGATATATTGCTATAGATATGGAAAGCCACATAAAATTTGGTACACTTAATTCAAAAATTAAGCCCCTCCCCTGTGTTTCACCTACAGCTATGAAATTTGGGACACTTATGAAGGACCTTAACAAAATCAACATAGCTTCTGTAACCCATAGGCCATGCCCAAGTTGAAGTCGGCCATATTAGTTCTAACATTTGCATTTTAAGATTATCACCCATTTTAAAAGCTTCTTTCAAAAGGTATCTCCTCCTAGAAAATTATGAATAAAAAGCTTAAACTGCAGCTGACATTTTTTTTTTTCATTTTAAAATTTGACATTTTTATCATACTATACTATGACATTTTATTCATACTTAAATTATAAATTTTTTCATACTATATTATGAAATTTTTTGACAAACTATACTATGAAGATTTTTTTTTTCTTTCTAAGATTTGACATTTTTATTATACTAAACTCTGATATTTTATTAATTCCTAAATTTTAATATGAATTAAACTATACTATGGCATTTTTTAAACATACCATATTTATAATTCCTAATTTTATTAAAAATTTTTACCATAATCTCTTAAAAAAAAATTATACTTTGACATTTTTAACATACTAAACTATGACATTTTTTCACACTAAAAATTTCTAATTTTATCATACTATACTTTGACATTTTTCTTATACTATACTATGACAATTTTTTCATGCTAAAATTTGAATTTTTAATGATACCGACTGACATTTTTTTTACAAACTATACATTTTTTAACAAACTTAAATTCAACATTTTTATCGCACTATTTATGACATGTTTTCATACTTTCTTAAATTTGAAATTTTTATCATACTATACTATGACATTTTATTCATACCTGAATGACAACTTTTTTTTATCTTACTAAACCATGACATTTTTTGACATACTTTACAATTAAAAAAAATTCTAATTTTGACACTTTTATCCTACTATACTCTGACATTTTATTTTTACCATACTTGGCAATATATATATATATATATATATATATATTTTTTTTTTACTAAAATTTGACATTTTTATCATACTATACTCTGACTTTTTATTAATTCCTAAATTTTAATATGAATTCAACTATACTATGGCATTTTTTAACACACACAGATATTCATCATTTTTAATTTTATTTAAATTTGACATGACATTTTTTGACAAACTATACTATGACAATTTTTTTGCATACCATATTTATTATTCTTAAGTCTTAATTTTATTTTGAAATAAAAATGTTTTAATTTTATCGTACTATACTTTGACATTTTTCCAATACTATACTATGACATTTATTTCATGCCTAAATTTGAAATTTTCATCATACTATACTCCATACTATACTCCTTTTTACCATACTTCGCAATATTATCTTCTTTCTAAGATTTGACATTTTTATCTTACTATACTATGACATTTTATTTGTACCTAAATTTTAATAGGAATTAAACTATACTATGGCATTTTTTAACATACCATATTTATTATTCTTAACCCTAACCCTAACCCTAACCCTAGCCCCAACCCTAACCCTAACCCTAGCTCTAACCCTATAACCCTAACCCTGGCTACAACCCTAACCCTAACCCTAGCTCCAACCTTAACCCTAACCCTAACCCTAGCTCCAACCCTAACCCTAACCCAAACCCTAAGTAAACTTTTCAAAAAACTTCCCCCAGAATTAGGTTCTATAGACTCCCCGTGCCCTGAAACGTGCTCCTAACACAATTCTGGAAGGTGAAAAATTGGGTTGGCACTTAGAAAATTTTTCAAATTTTTTTTCCCATGCATTCCTATGGAAAAAAATCAAATTTTTTTAGGAACGTCCTAGAGACTCGGGAGTTGGTTCATTGCACTCAGAAAAATCCTAGCTCCAAGCCCAACCCTAACCCTAGCTCCAACACTAACCCTAACTCCAACCCTAACCCTAACCCTAACCCTAGCTCCAACCCTAACCCATGCATTCCTATGGGAAAAAATCAATTTTTTTTAGGAACGTCCTAGAGACTCAGGAGTTGGTTCATTACACTCAGAAAAATCCTAGCTCCAAGCCCAACCCTAACCCTAGCTCCAACACTAACCCTAACTCCAACCCTAACCCTAACCCTAACCCTAGCTCCAACCCTAACCCTAACCCTAACCCATGCATTCCTATGGGAAAAAATCAAATTTTTTTAGGAACGTCCTAGAGACTCAGGAGTTGGTTCATTACACTCAGAAAAATCCTAGCTCCAAGCCCAACCCTAACCCCAGCTCCAACACTAACCCTAACTCCAACCCTAACCCTAACCCTAACCCTAGCTCCAACCCTAACCCTAACCCTAACCCATGCATTCCTATGGGAAAAAATCAAATTTTATTAGGAACGTCCTAGAGACTCAGGAGTTGGCTCATTACACTCAGAAAAATCCTAGCTCCAAGCCCAACCCTAACCCTAGCTCCAACACTAACCCTAACTCCAACCCTAACCCTAACCCTAACCCTAGCTCCAACCCTAACCCTAACCCTAACCCATGCATTCCTATGGGAAAAAAATCAAATTTTTTTAGGAACGTCCTAGAGACTCGGGAGTTGGTTCATTGCACTCAGAAAAATCCTAGCTCCAAGCCCAACCCTAACCCTAGCTCCAACACTAACCCTAACTCCAACCCTAACCCTAACCCTAACCCTAGCTCCAACCCTAACCCATGCATTCCTATGGAAAAAAATCAAATTTTTTTAGGAACGTCCTAGAGACTCAGGAGTTGGTTCATTACACTCAGAAAAATCCTAGCTCCAAGCCCAACCCTAACCCTAGCTCCAACACTAACCCTAACTCCAACCCTAACCCTAACCCTAACCCTAGCTCCAACCCTAACCCTAACCCTAACCCATGCATTCCTATGGGAAAAAATCAAATTTTTTTAGGAACGTCCTAGAGACTCAGGAGTTGGTTCATTACACTCAGAAAAATCCTAGCTCCAAGCCCAACCCTAACCCCAGCTCTGACACTAACCCTAACTCCAACCCTAACCCTAACCCTAACCCTAGCTCCAACCCTAACCCTAACCCTAACCCATGCATTCCTATGGGAAAAAATCAAATTTTTTTAGGAACGTCCTAGAGACTCAGGAGTTGGTTCATTACACTCAGAAAAATCCTAGCTCCAAGCCCAACCCTAACCCTAGCTCCAACACTAACCCTAACTCCAACCCTAACCCTAACCCTAACCCTAGCTCCAACCCTAACCCTAACCCTAACCCATGCATTCCTATGGGAAAAAAATCAAATTTTTTTAGGAACGTCCTAGAGACTCGGGAGTTGGTTCATTACACTCAGAAAAATCCTAGCTCCAAGCCCAACCCTAACCCTAGCTCCAACACTAACCCTAACTCCAACCCTAACCCTAACCCTAACCCTAGCTCCAACCCTAACCCTAACCCTAACCCATGCATTCCTATGGGAAAAAATCAAAATTTTTTAGGAACGTCCTAGAGACTCAGGAGTTGGTTCATTACACTCAGAAAAATCCTAGCTCCAAGCCCAACCCTAACCCTAGCTCCAACACTAACCCTAACTCCAACCCTAACCCTAACCCTAACCCTAGCTCCAACCCTAACCCTAACCCTAACCCATGCATTCCTATGGGAAAAAATCAAAATTTTTTAGGAACGTCCTAGAGACTCAGGAGTTGGTTCATTACACTCAGAAAAATCCTAGCTCCAAGCCCAACCCTAACCCTAGCTCCAACACTAACCCTAACTCCAACCCTAACCCTAACCCTAGCTCCAACCCTAACCCATGCATTCCAATGGGAAAAAATCAAATTTTTTTAGGAACGTCCTAGAGACTCAGGAGTTGGTTCATTACACTCAGAAAAATCCTAGCTCCAAGCCCAACCCTAACCCTAGCTCCAACACTAACCCTAACTCCAACCATAACCCTAACCCTAACCCTAGCTCCAACCCTAACCCTAACCCTAACCCATGCATTCCTATGGGAAAAAATCAAATTTTTTTAGGAACGTCCTAGAGACTCAGGAGTTGGTTCATTACACTCAGAAAAATACTAGCTCCAAGCCCAACCCTAACCCCAGCTCCAACACTAACCCTAACTCCAACCCTAACCCTAACCCTAACCCTAGCTCCAACCCTAACCCTAACCCTAACCCATGCATTCCTATGGGAAAAAATCAAATTTTTTTAGGAACGTCCTAGAGACTCAGGAGTTGGTTCATTGCACTCAGAAAAATCCTAGCTCCAAGCCCAACCCTAACCCTAGCTCCAACACTAACCCTAACTCCAACCCTAACCCTAACCCTAACCCTAGCTCCAACCCTAACCCTAACCCTAACCCATGCATTCCTATGGGAAAAAATCAAATTTTTTTAGGAACGTCCTAGAGACTCAGGAGTTGGTTCATTACACTCAGAAAAATCCTAGCTCCAAGCCCAAACCTAACCCTAGCTCCAAGCCCAACCCTAACTCCAACCCTAACCCTAACCCTAACCCTAGCTCCAACCCTAACCCTAACCCTAACCCATGCATTCCTATGGGAAAAAATCAAATTTTTTTAGGAACGTCCTAGAGACTCAGGAGTTGGTTCATTACACTCAGAAAAATCCTAGCTCCAAGCCCAACCCTAACCCTAGCTCCAACACTAACCCTAACTCCAACCCTAACCCTAACCCTAACCCTAGCTCCAACCCTAACCCATGCATTCCAATGGGAAAAAATCAAATTTTTTTAGGAACGTCCTAGAGACTCAGGAGTTGGTTCATTGCACTCAGAAAAATCCTAGCTCCAAGCCCAACCCTAACCCTAGCTCCAACACTAACCCTAACTCCAACCCTAACCCTAACCCTAACCCTAGCTCCAACCCTAACCCTAACCCTAACCCATGCATTCCTATGGGAAAAAATCAAATTTTTTTAGGAACGTCCTAGAGACTCAGGAGTTGGTTCATTACACTCAGAAAAATACTAGCTCCAAGCCCAACCCTAACCCCAGCTCCAACACTAACCCTAACTCCAACCCTAACCCTAACCCTAACCCTAGCTCCAACCCTAACCCTAACCCTAACCCATGCATTCCTATGGGAAAAAATCAAATTTTTTTAGGAACGTCCTAGAGACTCAGGAGTTGGCTCATTACACTCAGAAAAATACTAGCTCCAAGCCCAACCCTAACCCTAGCTCCAACACTAACCCTAACTCCAACCCTAACCCTAACCCTAACCCTAGCTCCAACCCTAACCCTAACCCTAACCCATGCATTCCTATGGGAAAAAAATCAAATTTTTTTAGGAACGTCCTAGAGACTCGGGAGTTGGTTCATTGCACTCAGAAAAATCCTAGCTCCAAGCCCAACCCTAACCCTAGCTCCAACACTAACCCTAACTCCAACCCTAACCCTAACCCTAACCCTAGCTCCAACCCTAACCCTAACCCTAACCCATGCATTCCTATGGGAAAAAATCAAATTTTTTTAGGAACGTCCTAGAGACTCAGGAGTTGGTTCATTACACTCAGAAAAATCCTAGCTCCAAGCCCAACCCTAACCCTAGCTCCAACAATAACCCTAACTCCAACCCTAACCCTAACCCTAACCCTAGCTCCAACCCTAACCCTAACCCTAACCCATGCATTCCTATGGGAAAAAATCAAATTTTTTTAGGAACGTCCTAGAGACTCGGGAGTTGGTTCATTGCACTCAGAAAAATCCTAGCTCCAAGCCCAACCCTAACCCTAGCTCCAACACTAACCCTAACTCCAACCCTAACCCTAACCCTAACCCTAGCTCCAACCCTAACCCTAACCCTAACCCATGCATTCCTATGGGAAAAAATCAAATTTTTTTAGGAACGTCCTAGAGACTCAGGAGTTGGCTCATTACACTCAGAAAAATCCTAGCTCCAAGCCCAACCCTAACCCTAGCTCCAACACTAACCCTAACTCCAACCCTAACCCTAACCCTAACCCTAGCTCCAACCCTAACCCTAACCCTAACCCATGCATTCCTATGGGAAAAAATCAAATTTTTTTAGGAACGTCCTAGAGACTCGGGAGTTGGTTCATTGCACTCAGAAAAATCCTAGCTCCAAGCCCAACCCTAACCCTAGCTCCAACACTAACCCTAACTCCAACCCTAACCCTAACCCTAACCCTAGCTCCAACCCTAACCCTAACCCTAACCCTAACCCATGCATTCCTATGGGAAAAAATCAAATTTTTTTAGGAACGTCCTAGAGAACTCGGGAGTTGGTTCATTGCACTCAGAAAAATCCTAGCTCCAAGCCCAACCCTAACCCTAGCTCCAACACTAACCCTAACTCCAACCCTAACCCTAACCCTAACCCTAGCTCCAACCCTAACCCTAACCCTAACCCATGCATTCCTATGGGAAAAAATCAAATTTTTTTAGGAACGTCCTAGAGACTCAGGAGTTGGTTCATTACACTCAGAAAAATCCTAGCTCCAAGCCCAACCCTAACCCTAGCTCCAACACTAACCCTAACTCCAACCCTAACCCTAACCCTAACCCTAGCTCCAACCCTAACCCTAACCCTAACCCATGCATTCCTATGGGAAAAAATCAAATTTTTTTAGGAACGTCCTAGAGACTCAGGAGTTGGTTCATTACACTCAGAAAAATCCTAGCTCCAAGCCCAACCCTAACCCTAGCTCCAACACTAACCCTAACTCCAACCCTAACCCTAACCCTAGCTCCAACCCTAGCTCCAACCCTAACCTCAGAAAATCCTAGCTCCAAGCCCAACCCTAACCCTAGTCAACACTAACCCTAACTCCAACCTAACCCTAACCCTAACCCTAGCATTCCCTATGGGAAAAAATCAAATTTTTTTAGGAACGTCCTAGAGACTCAGGAGTTGGTTCATTACACTCAGAAAAATCCTAGCTCCAAGCCCAACCCTAACCCTAGCTCCAACACTAACCCTAACTCCAACCCTAACCCTAACCCTAACCCTAGCTCCAACCCTAACCCTAACCTACTGCATTCCTATGGGAAAAAATCAATTTTTTAGGAACGTCCTAGAGACTCAGGAGTTGGTTCATTAACTCAGAAAAATCTAACCCAACCCTAACCCTAGCTCCAAACCCTAACTAACCCCCTAACCCTAACCCTAGCTCCAACCCTAACCCTAACCCTAACCCATGCATTCCTATGGGAAAAAATCAAATTTTTTTAGGAACGTCCTAGAGACTCAGGAGTTGGTTCATTACACTCAGAAAAATCCTAGCTCCAAGCCCAACCCTAACCCTAGCTCCAACACTAACCCTAACTCCAACCCTAACCCTAACCCTAACCCTAGCTCCAACCCTAACCCTAACCCTAACCCATGCATTCCTATGGGAAAAAATCAAATTTTTTTAGGAACGTCCTAGAGACTCGGGAGTTGGTTCATTGCACTCAGAAAAATCCTAGCTCCAAGCCCAACCCTAACCCTAGCTCCAACACTAACCCTAACTCCAACCCTAACCCTAACCCTAACCCTAGCTCCAACCCTAACCCTAACCCTAACCCATGCATTCCTATGGGAAAAAAATCAAATTTTTTTAGGAACGTCCTAGAGACTCGGGAGTTGGTTCATTGCACTCAGAAAAATCCTAGCTCCAAGCCCAACCCTAACCCTAGCTCCAACACTAACCCTAACTCCAACCCTAACCCTAACCCTAACCCTAGCTCCAACCCTAACCCTAACCCTAACCCATGCATTCCTATGGAAAAAAATCAAATTTTTTTAGGAACGTCCTAGAGACTCAGGAGTTGGTTCAATACACTCAGAAAAATCCTAGCTCCAAGCCCAACCCTAACCCTAGCTCCAACACTAACCCTAACTCCAACCCTAACCCTAACCCTAACCCTAGCTCCAACCCTAACCCTAACCCTAACCCATGCATTCCTATGGGAAAAAATCAAATTTTTTTAGGAACGTCCTAGAGACTCAGGAGTTGGTTCATTACACTCAGAAAAATCCTAGCTCCAAGCCCAACCCTAACCCCAGCTCCGACACTAACCCTAACTCCAACCCTAACCCTAACCCTAACCCTAGCTCCAACCCTAACCCTAACCCTAACCCATGCATTCCTATGGGAAAAAATCAAATTTTTTTAGGAACGTCCTAGAGACTCAGGAGTTGGTTCATTACACTCAGAAAAATCCTAGCTCCAAGCCCAACCCTAACCCTAGCTCCAACACTAACCCTAACTCCAACCCTAACCCTAACCCTAACCCTAGCTCCAACCCTAACCCTAACCCTAACCCATGCATTCCTATGGGAAAAAAATCAAATTTTTTTAGGAACGTCCTAGAGACTCGGGAGTTGGTTCATTGCACTCAGAAAAATCCTAGCTCCAAGCCCAACCCTAACCCTAGCTCCAACACTAACCCTAACTCCAACCCTAACCCTAACCCTAACCCTAGCTCCAACCCTAACCCTAACCCTAACCCTAACCCATGCATTCCTATGGGAAAAAATCAAATTTTTTTAGGAACGTCCTAGAGACTCAGGAGTTGGTTCATTACACTCAGAAAAATCCTAGCTCCAAGCCCAACCCTAACCCTAGCTCCAACACTAACCCTAACTCCAACCCTAACCCTAACCCTAACCCTAGCTCCAACCCTAACCCTAACCCTAACCCATGCATTCCTATGGAAAAAAATCAAATTTTTTTAGGAACGTCCTAGAGACTCAGGAGTTGGTTCAATACACTCAGAAAAATCCTAGCTCCAAGCCCAACCCTAACCCTAGCTCCAACACTAACCCTAACTCCAACCCTAACCCTAACCCTAACCCTAGCTCCAACCCTAACCCTAACCCTAACCCATGCATTCCTATGGGAAAAAATCAAATTTTTTTAGGAACGTCCTAGAGACTCAGGAGTTGGTTCATTACACTCAGAAAAATCCTAGCTCCAAGCCCAACCCTAACCCCAGCTCCAACACTAACCCTAACTCCAACCCTAACCCTAACCCTAACCCTAGCTCCAACCCTAACCCTAACCCTAACCCATGCATTCCTATGGGAAAAAATCAAATTTTTTTAGGAACGTCCTAGAGACTCAGGAGTTGGTTCATTACACTCAGAAAAATCCTAGCTCCAAGCCCAACCCTAACCCTAGCTCCAACACTAACCCTAACTCCAACCCTAACCCTAACCCTAACCCTAGCTCCAACCCTAACCCTAACCCTAACCCATGCATTCCTATGGGAAAAAATCAAATTTTTTTAGGAACGTCCTAGAGACTCGGGAGTTGGTTCATTGCACTCAGAAAAATCCTAGCTCCAAGCCCAACCCTAACCCTAACCCATGCATTCCTATGGGAAAAAATCAAATTTTTTAGAACGTCCTAGAGACTCAGGAGTTGGTTCATTAACCAGAACGTCCTAGAGACTCAGGAGTTGGTTCATTACACTCAGAAAAATCCTAGCTCCAAGCCCAACCCTAACCCTAGCTCCAACCCTAACCCTAACCCTAACCCATGCATTCCTATGGGAAAAAAATCAAATTTTTTTAGGAACGTCCTAGAGACTCGGGAGTTGGTTCATTGCACTCAGAAAAATCCTAGCTCCAAGCCCAACCCTAACCCTAGCTCCAACACTAACCCTAACTCCAACCCTAACCCCTAACCCTAACCCTAGCTCCAACCCTAACCCATGCATTCCTATGGGAAAAAATCAAATTTTTTTAGGAACGTCCTAGAGACTCAGGAGTTGGTTCATTACACTCAGAAAAATACTAGCTCCAAGCCCAACCCTAACCCTAGCTCCAACACTAACCCTAACTCCAACCCTAACCCTAACCCTAACCCTAGCTCCAACCCTAACCCTAACCCTAACCCATGCATTCCTATGGGAAAAAATCAAAATTTTTTAGGAACGTCCTAGAGACTCAGGAGTTGGCTCATTACACTCAGAAAAATCCTAGCTCCAAGCCCAACCCTAACCCTAGCTCCAACACTAACCCTAACTCCAACCCTAACCCTAACCCTAACCCTAGCTCCAACCCTAACCCTAACCCTAACCCATGCATTCCTATGGGAAAAAAATCAAATTTTTTTAGGAACGTCCTAGAGATTCGGGAGTTGGTTCATTGCACTCAGAAAAATCCTAGCTCCAAGCCCAACCCTAACCCTAGCTCCAACACTAACCCTAACTCCAACCCTAACCCTAACCCTAACCCTAGCTCCAACCCTAACCCTAACCCTAACCCATGCATTCCTATGGGAAAAAATCAAATTTTTTTAGGAACGTCCTAGAGACTCAGGAGTTGCTTCATTACACTCAGAAAAATACTAGCTCCAAGCCCAACCCTAACCCTAGCTCCAACACTAACCCTAACTCCAACCCTAACCCTAACCCTAACCCTAGCTCCAACCTTAACCCTAACCCTAACCCATGCATTCCTATGGGAAAAAATCAAATTTTTTAGGAACGTCCTAGAGACTCAGGAGTTGGTTCATTACACTCAGAAAAATCCTAGCTCCAAGCCCAACCCTAACCCTAGCTCCAACAATAACCCTAACTCCAACCCTAACCCTAACCCTAACCCTAGCTCCAACCCTAACCCTAACCCTAACCCATGCATTCCTATGGGAAAAAATCAAATTTTTTTAGGAACGTCCTAGAGACTCAGGAGTTGGTTCATTACACTCAGAAAAATCCTAGCTCCAAGCCCAACCCTAACCCTAGCTCCAACAATAACCCTAACTCCAACCCTAACCCTAACCCTAACCCTAGCTCCAACCCTAACCCTAACCCTAACCCATGCATTCCTATGGGAAAAAATCAAATTTTTTTAGGAACGTCCTAGAGACTCGGGAGTTGGTTCATTGCACTCAGAAAAATCCTAGCTCCAAGCCCAACCCTAACCCTAGCTCCAACACTAACCCTAACTCCAACCCTAACCCTAACCCTAACCCTAGCTCCAACCCTAACCCTAACCCTAACCCATGCATTCCTATGGGAAAAAATCAAATTTTTTTAGGAACGTCCTAGAGACTCAGGAGTTGGCTCATTACACTCAGAAAAATCCTAGCTCCAAGCCCAACCCTAACCCTAGCTCCAACACTAACCCTAACTCCAACCCTAACCCTAACCCTAACCCTAGCTCCAACCCTAACCCTAACCCTAACCCATGCATTCCTATGGGAAAAAAATCAAATTTTTTTAGGAACGTCCTAGAGACTCGGGAGTTGGTTCATTGCACTCAGAAAAATCCTAGCTCCAAGCCCAACCCTAACCCTAGCTCCAACACTAACCCTAACTCCAACCCTAACCCTAACCCTAACCCTAGCTCCAACCCTAACCCTAACCCTAACCCATGCATTCCTATGGGAAAAAATCAAATTTTTTTAGGAACGTCCTAGAGACTCGGGAGTTGGTTCATTGCACTCAGAAAAATCCTAGCTCCAAGCCCAACCCTAACCCTAGCTCCAACACTAACCCTAACTCCAACCCTAACCCTAACCCTAACCCTAGCTCCAACCCTAACCCTAACCCTAACCCATGCATTCCTATGGGAAAAAATCAAATTTTTTTAGGAACGTCCTAGAGACTCAGGAGTTGGCTCATTACACTCAGAAAAATCCTAGCTCCAAGCCCAACCCTAACCCTAGCTCCAACACTAACCCTAACTCCAACCCTAACCCCTAACCCTAACCCTAGCTCCAACCCTAACCCTAACCCTAACCCATGCATTCCTATGGGAAAAAAATCAAATTTTTTTAGGAACGTCCTAGAGACTCGGGAGTTGGTTCATTGCACTCAGAAAAATCCTAGCTCCAAGCCCAACCCTAACCCTAGCTCCAACACTAACCCTAACTCCAACCCTAACCCTAACCCTAACCCTAGCTCCAACCCTAACCCTAACCCTAACCCATGCATTCCTATGGGAAAAAATCAAAATTTTTTAGGAACGTCCTAGAGACTCAGGAGTTGGTTCATTACACTCAGAAAAATACTAGCTCCAAGCCAAACCCTAACCCTAGCTCCAACACTAACCCTAACTCCAACCCTAACCCTAACCCTAACCCTAGCTCCAACCCTAACCGTAACCCTAACCCATGCATTCCTATGGGAAAAAATCAAAATTTTTTAGGAACGTCCTAGAGACTCAGGAGTTGGTTCATTACACTCAGAAAAATCCTAGCTCCAAGCCCAACCCTAACCCTAGCTCCAACACTAACCCTAACTCCAACCCTAACCCTAACCCTAACCCTAGCTCCAACCCTAACCCTAACCCTAACCCATGCATTCCTATGGGAAAAAATCAAATTTTTTTAGGAACGTCCTAGAGACTCAGGAGTTGGTTCATTACACTCAGAAAAATCCTAGCTCCAAGCCCAACCCTAACCCTAGCTCCAACAATAACCCTAACTCCAACCCTAACCCTAACCCTAACCCTAGCTCCAACCCTAACCCTAACCCTAACCCATGCATTCCTATGGGAAAAAATCAAATTTTTTTAGGAACGTCCTAGAGACTCGGGAGTTGGTTCATTGCACTCAGAAAAATCCTAGCTCCAAGCCCAACCCTAACCCTAGCTCCAACACTAACCCTAACTCCAACCCTAACCCTAACCCTAACCCTAGCTCAAACCCTAACCCTAACCCTAACCCTAACCCATGCATTCCTATGGGAAAAAATCAAATTTTTTTAGGAACGTCCTAGAGACTCGGGAGTTGGTTCATTGCACTCAGAAAAATCCTAGCTCCAAGCCCAACCCTAACCCTAGCTCCAACACTAACCCTAACTCCAACCCTAACCCTAACCCTAACCCTAGCTCCAACCCTAACCCTAACCCTAACCCATGCATTCCTATGGGAAAAAATCAAATTTTTTTAGGAACGTCCTAGAGACTCAGGAGTTGCTTCATTACACTCAGAAAAATACTAGCTCCAAGCCCAACCCTAACCCTAGCTCCAACACTAACCCTAACTCCAACCCTAACCCTAACCCTAACCCTAGCTCCAACCCTAACCCTAACCCTAACCCATGCATTCCTATGGGAAAAAATTAATTTTTTAGGAACGTCCTAGAGACTCAGGAGTTGGTTCATTACACTCAGAAAAATCCTAGCTCCAAGCCCAACCCTAACCCTAGCTCCAAGCCCAACCCTAACTCCAACCCTAACCCTAACCCTAACCCTAGCTCCAACCCTAACCCTAACCCTAACCCATGCATTCCTATGGGAAAAAATCAAATTTTTTTAGGAACGTCCTAGAGACTCAGGAGTTGGTTCATTACACTCAGAAAAATCCTAGCTCCAAGCCCAACCCTAACCCTAGCTCCAACAATAACCCTAACTCCAACCCTAACCCTAACCCTAACCCTAGCTCCAACCCTAACCCTAACCCTAACCCATGCATTCCTATGGGAAAAAATCAAATTTTTTTAGGAACGTCCTAGAGACTCGGGAGTTGGTTCATTGCACTCAGAAAAATCCTAGCTCCAAGCCCAACCCTAACCCTAGCTCCAACACTAACCCTAACTCCAACCCTAACCCTAACCCTAACCCTAGCTCCAACCCTAACCCTAACCCTAACCCATGCATTCCTATGGGAAAAAATCAAATTTTTTTAGGAACGTCCTAGAGACTCAGGAGTTGGCTCATTACACTCAGAAAAATCCTAGCTCCAAGCCCAACCCTAACCCTAGCTCCAACACTAACCCTAACTCCAACCCTAACCCTAACCCTAACCCTAGCTCCAACCCTAACCCTAACCCTAACCCATGCATTCCTATGGGAAAAAAATCAAATTTTTTTAGGAACGTCCTAGAGACTCGGGAGTTGGTTCATTGCACTCAGAAAAATCCTAGCTCCAAGCCCAACCCTAACCCTAGCTCCAACACTAACCCTAACTCCAACCCTAACCCTAACCCTAACCCTAGCTCCAACCCTAACCCTAACCCTAACCCATGCATTCCTATGGGAAAAAATCAAATTTTTTTAGGAACGTCCTAGAGACTCGGGAGTTGGTTCATTGCACTCAGAAAAATCCTAGCTCCAAGCCCAACCCTAACCCTAGCTCCAACACTAACCCTAACTCCAACCCTAACCCTAACCCTAACCCTAGCTCCAACCCTAACCCTAACCCTAACCCATGCATTCCTATGGGAAAAAATCAAATTTTTTTAGGAACGTCCTAGAGACTCAGGAGTTGGCTCATTACACTCAGAAAAATCCTAGCTCCAAGCCCAACCCTAACCCTAGCTCCAACACTAACCCTAACTCCAACCCTAACCCTAACCCTAACCCTAGCTCCAACCCTAACCCTAACCCTAACCCATGCATTCCTATGGGAAAAAAATCAAATTTTTTTAGGAACGTCCTAGAGACTCGGGAGTTGGTTCATTGCACTCAGAAAAATCCTAGCTCCAAGCCCAACCCTAACCCTAGCTCCAACACTAACCCTAACTCCAACCCTAACCCTAACCCTAACCCTAGCTCCAACCCTAACCCTAACCCTAACCCATGCATTCCTATGGGAAAAAATCAAATTTTTTTAGGAACGTCCTAGAGACTCGGGAGTTGGTTCATTGCACTCAGAAAAATCCTAGCTCCAAGCCCAACCCTAACCCTAGCTCCAACACTAACCCTAACTCCAACCCTAACCCTAACCCTAACCCTAGCTCAAACCCTAACCCTAACCCTAACCCTAACCCATGCATTCCTATGGGAAAAAATCAAATTTTTTTAGGAACGTCCTAGAGACTCGGGAGTTGGTTCATTGCACTCAGAAAAATCCTAGCTCCAAGCCCAACCCTAACCCTAGCTCCAACACTAACCCTAACTCCAACCCTAACCCTAACCCTAACCCTAGCTCCAACCCTAACCCTAACCCTAACCCATGCATTCCTATGGGAAAAAATCAAATTTTTTTAGGAACGTCCTAGAGACTCAGGAGTTGCTTCATTACACTCAGAAAAATACTAGCTCCAAGCCCAACCCTAACCCTAGCTCCAACACTAACCCTAACTCCAACCCTAACCCTAACCCTAACCCTAGCTCCAACCCTAACCCTAACCCTAACCCATGCATTCCTATGGGAAAAAATCAAATTTTTTAGGAACGTCCTAGAGACTCAGGAGTTGGTTCATTACACTCAGAAAAATCCTAGCTCCAAGCCCAACCCTAACCCTAGCTCCAAGCCCAACCCTAACTCCAACCCTAACCCTAACCCTAACCCTAGCTCCAACCCTAACCCTAACCCTAACCCATGCATTCCTATGGGAAAAAATCAAATTTTTTTAGGAACGTCCTAGAGACTCAGGAGTTGGTTCATTACACTCAGAAAAATCCTAGCTCCAAGCCCAACCCTAACCCTAGCTCCAACAATAACCCTAACTCCAACCCTAACCCTAACCCTAACCCTAGCTCCAACCCTAACCCTAACCCTAACCCATGCATTCCTATGGGAAAAAATCAAATTTTTTTAGGAACGTCCTAGAGACTCGGGAGTTGGTTCATTGCACTCAGAAAAATCCTAGCTCCAAGCCCAACCCTAACCCTAGCTCCAACACTAACCCTAACTCCAACCCTAACCCTAACCCTAACCCTAGCTCCAACCCTAACCCTAACCCTAACCCATGCATTCCTATGGGAAAAAATCAAATTTTTTTAGGAACGTCCTAGAGACTCAGGAGTTGGCTCATTACACTCAGAAAAATCCTAGCTCCAAGCCCAACCCTAACCCTAGCTCCAACACTAACCCTAACTCCAACCCTAACCCTAACCCTAACCCTAGCTCCAACCCTAACCCTAACCCTAACCCATGCATTCCTATGGGAAAAAAATCAAACTTTTTTTAGGAACGTCCTAGAGACTCGGGAGTTGGTTCATTGCACTCAGAAAAATCCTAGCTCCAAGCCCAACCCTAACCCTAGCTCCAACACTAACCCTAACTCCAACCCTAACCCTAACCCTAACCCTAGCTCCAACCCTAACCCTAACCCTAACCCATGCATTCCTATGGGAAAAAATCAAATTTTTTTAGGAACGTCCTAGAGACTCAGGAGTTGGTTCATTACACTCAGAAAAATACTAGCTCCAAGCCCAACCCTAACCCTAGCTCCAACACTAACCCTAACTCCAACCCTAACCCTAACCCTAACCCTAGCTCCAACCCTAACCCTAACCCTAACCCATGCATTCCTATGGGAAAAAATCAAAATTTTTTAGGAACGTCCTAGAGACTCAGGAGTTGGTTCATTACACTCAGAAAAATCCTAGCTCCAAGCCCAACCCTAACCCTAGCTCCAACACTAACCCTAACTCCAACCCTAACCCTAACCCTAACCCTAGCTCCAACCCTAACCCTAACCCTAACCAATGCATTCCTATGGGAAAAAAATCAAATTTTTTTAGGAACGTCCTAGAGACTCAGGAGTTGGTTCATTACACTCAGAAAAATCCTAGCTCCAAGCCCAACCCTAACCCTAGCTCCAACAATAACCCTAACTCCAACCCTAACCCTAACCCTAACCCTAGCTCCAACCCTAACCCTAACCCTAACCCATGCATTCCTATGGGAAAAAATCAAATTTTTTTAGGAACGTCCTAGAGACTCGGGAGTTGGTTCATTGCACTCAGAAAAATCCTAGCTCCAAGCCCAACCCTAACCCTAGCTCCAACACTAACCCTAACTCCAACCCTAACCCTAACCCTAACCCTAGCTCAAACCCTAACCCTAACCCTAACCCTAACCCATGCATTCCTATGGGAAAAAATCAAATTTTTTTAGGAACGTCCTAGAGACTCAGGAGTTGGTTCATTACACTCAGAAAAATCCTAGCTCCAAGCCCAACCCTAACCCTAGCTCCAACACTAACCCTAACTCCAACCCTAACCCTAACCCTAACCCTAGCTCCAACCCTAACCCTAACCCTAACCCTAACCCATGCATTCCTATGGGAAAAAATCAATTTTTTTTAGGAACGTCCTAGAGACTCAGGAGTTGGTTCATTACACTCAGAAAAATCCTAGCTCCAAGCCCAACCCTAACCCTAGCTCCAACACTAACCCTAACTCCAACCCTAACCCTAACCCTAACCCTAGCTCCAACCCTAACCCTAACCCTAACCCATGCATTCCTATGGGAAAAAATCAAATTTTTTTAGGAACGTCCTAGAGACTCGGGAGTTGGTTCATTGCACTCAGAAAAATCCTAGCTCCAAGCCCAACCCTAACCCTAGCTCCAACACTAACCCTAACTCCAACCCTAACCCTAACCCTAACCCTAGCGCCAACCCTAACCCTAACCCTAACCCTAGCTCCAACCCTAACCCTAACCCTAACCCTAGCTCCAACCCTAACCCTAACCCTAACCCTAGCTCCAACCTTAACCCTAACCCTAACCCTAGCCCCAACCCTAACCCTAGCTCTAATCCTAACCCTAATCCTAGCTCCACCCTAATCCTCACCCTAACCCTAACCCTAGCTCCAACCTTAACCCTAACCCTAACCCTAGCTCCACCCTAACCCTAACCCTAACTGTAACCCTAGCTCCAACCTTAACCCTAACCCTAACCCTAACTCCAACCCTTACCCTAACCCTAACCCTTGCTCCAACCCTAACCCTAACCCTAGCTCCAACCCTAACCCTAACCCTAACCCTAACCCTAGCTCCAAGCCCAACCCTAACCCTAGCTCCAACACTAACCCTAACTCCAACCCTAACCCTAACCCTAGCTCCAACCCTAACCCTAACCCTAACCCATGCATTCCTATGGGAAAAAATCAAATTTTTTTAGGAACGTCCTAGAGACTCGGGAGTTGGTTCATTGCACTCAGAAAAATCCTAGCTCCAAGCCCAACCCTAACCCTAGCTCCAAAACTAACCCTAACTCCAACCCTAACCCTAACCCTAACCCTAGCTCCAACCCTAACCCTAACCCTAACCCATGCATTCCTATGGGAAAAAATCAAATTTTTTTAGGAACGTCCTAGAGACTCGGGAGTTGGTTCATTGCACTCAGAAAAATCCTAGCTCCAAGCCCAACCCTAACCCTAGCTCCAACACTAACCCTAACTCCAACCCAAACCCTAACCCTAACCCTAGCTCCAACCCTAACCCTAACCCTAACCCATGCATTCCTATGGGAAAAAATCAAATTTTTTTAGGAACGTCCTAGAGACTCAGGAGTTGGTTCATTGCACTCAGAAAAATCCTAGCTCCAAGCCCAACCCTAACCCTAGCTCCAACACTAACCCTAACTCCAACCCTAACCCTAACCCTAACCCTAGCTCCAACCCTAACCCTAACCCTAGCTCCAACCCTAACCCTAACCCTAACCCTAGCTCCAACCCTAACCCTAACCCTAACCCTAGCTCCAACCTTAACCCTAACCCTAACCCTAACCCTAGCCCCAACCCTAACCCTAACCCTAATCCTAACCCTAACCCTAGCTCCACCCTAATCCTAACCCTAGCTCCAACCTTAACCCTAACCCTAACCCTAGCTCCAACCTTAACCCTAACCCTAACCCTAACTCCAACCCTTACCCTAACCCTAACCCTTGCTCCAACCCTAACCCTAACCCTAACCCTAACCCTAGCTCCAACCCTAACCTTAACCCTAACCCTAGCTCCAACCTTAACCCTAACCCTAACCCTAACCCTAGCCCCAACCCTAACCCTAGCTCTAACCCTAACCCTAACCCTAGCTCCACCCTAATCCTAACCCTAACCCTAACCCTAGCTCCAACCTTAACCCTAACCCTAACCCTAACTCCAACCCTAACCCTAACCCCAGCTCCAACCCTAACCCTAACCCTAACCCATGCATTCCTATGGGGAAAAATCAAATTTTTTTAGGAACGTCCTAGAGACTCAGGAGTTGGTTCATTGCACTCAGAAAAATCCTAGCTCCAAGCCCAACCCTAACCCTAGCTCCAACACTAACCCTAACTCCAACCCTAACCCTAACCCTAACCCTAGCTCCAACCCTAACCCTAACCCTAACCCATGCATTCCTATGGGAAAAAATCAAATTTTTTTAGGAACGTCCTAGAGACTCGGGAGTTGGTTCATTGCACTCAGAAAAATCCTAGCTCCAAGCCCAACCCTAACCCTAGCTCCAACACTAACCCTAACTCCAACCTTAACCCTAACCCTAACCCTAGCTCCACCCTAACCCTAACCCTAACTGTAACCCTAGCTCCAACCTTAACCCTAACCCTAACCCTAACTCCAACCCTTACCCTAACCCTAACCCTTGCTCCAACCCTAACCCTAACCCTAACCCTAGCTCCAACCCTAACCTTAACCCTAACCCTAGCTCCAACCTTAACCCTAACCCTAACCCTAGCCCCAACCCTAACCCTAGCTCTAACCCTAACCCTAACCCTTGCTCCACCCTAATCCTAACCCTAACCCTAACCCTAGCTCCAACCTTAACCCTAACCCTAACCCTAACTCCAACCCTAACCCTAACCCCAGCTCCAACCCTAACCCTAACCCTAACCCATGCATTCCTATGGGAAAAAATAAATTTTTTTTAGGAACGTCCTAGAGACTCAGGAGTTGGTTCATTGCACTCAGAAAAATCCTAGCTCCAAGCCCAACCCTAACCCTAGCTCCAACACTAACCCTAACTCCAACCCTAACCCTAACCCTAACCCTAGCTCCAACCCTAACCCTAACCCTAACCCATGCATTCCTATGGGAAAAAATCAAAATTTTTTAGGAACGTCCTAGAGACTCGGGAGTTGGTTCATTGCACTCAGAAAAATCCTAGCTCCAAGCCCAACCCTAACCCTAGCTCCAACACTAACCCTAACTCCAACCCTAACCCTAACCCTAACCCTAGCTCCAACCCCACACCTAACCCTAACCCTAGCTCCAACCTTAATTCTGTTCAAATTCTTTTACATAATTAATGATAACATTTTCTTATTCTTTGACATTTTTACTTACTAAACTATGAAATTCATTCTCACATTAAAAATTTAAACTTAATCATACTATACTTTTACATATTTCCAGTACTATACTATGACGTTTTTTTCATGCTTGAATTTGGATTTTTAATTATACTAATTCTGACATTTTTTTTAACAAACTTTAATTTAACATTCTTATCATTCTATACAATGACATATTTTTTTAAAAAATTAGAAATTTTATTATAAAAATACTTTTTTAACAAACTATAATATAAAATTATTTTCTTATTTAAATTTTGATTTTTTCTTCATAATATACATTTTCAAACTAGAATTTGACATTTTTATCATACTATGACATTTTATACTAAAATTTAAGATTTTTTTCATACCATACTCTGACCTTTTTTTTTTTACAAGCTATGCAATAATATTTTTTTTCTTTCTAGAATTTAAAATTATTATGATACTTTACTATGACATTTTATTCATACTTAAATAATATTTTTTTCTTATCATACTATACCATGAAATCTTTTGACAAAAATATACTATGGCAATTTCTTTTCTACTTAACTTTAAAATTTTTATCATAATATACTCTGACTTTTATTTATACCGAAATTTTAATATGGATTAAACTATACTATAGCATTTTTTAACATACCATATTTGTTATTATTAATTATATTTAAATTCTTTACCATAATTTATGATAACATTTTTTTATACTTCGAAATTTTAAGCATTCTAAACTATGATATATTTTCACACTGAAATATTTTTATTTTATCATACTATACTTTTTCATTTTTTCATGCTTAAATTTGAAATTATTATCATACTATACTCTGACATCTTTTTTTTTACCATACTTTACGATAACATTTTTCTTCTTATTAAAATTTGACATTTTTTTCATACTATACTATAACATTCTTTGACAAACTAAACTATAAAGATTTTCTTTTCTAAAAATAATAAAAAAAATTTAACTAAAATTTGATATTCTTATTATCCTATACTCTGACATTTTATTAATTTATAAATTTTAATATGAATTAAACTATACTATGGCATTCTTAAACATACCATATTTATTATTCTTAATTTTATATGAATTTTTTACCGTAATTTATGATAACATTTTTTTAATTCCAAGACATTTTCAGCAGACTTAACTATGATATTTATTCACACAAAAAACTTATAATTTTATCATAATATACTTTGACATTTTTCTTGTACTATTTTATGACAATTTTTTCATGCTAAAATTAATTTTTTTAATCATACTATACTCTGAAATATTTTAACAAACTATATTGTTACACTTTTTTAAACAAACAAAAATTTGTCATTTTTATCATACTATACTATGACATTTTTTCACAAAACTATGCAATAAGATTTTTTTTTCTTTCTAAAATTTGTCATTTTTAACGTACCATACTCTGACATTTTATTCATATCTAAATTTTAATATGAATGAAACTATACTATGGCATTTTTAACTTACCATATTTATTATTCTTAATTTTATTTAAATTTTGTACCATAATTTATGTAACCATTTTCATATACTTTGACATTTTTAGCATACTAAACTGACATTTTTTCACACTAAAAACTTCTAATTTTATCATACTATACTTTGAAATTTTTCTCATACTATACTATAACAATTTTTCTATGCTTAAATTAGAATTTTTAATCATACTGTACTCTGAATTTTTTTTTTTTACATCTGTACTATTACATTTTTTTTAACAAACTTAAATTTGACATTTTTCTGTTCTAAACTATGACATGTTTTCATAGTAAAATTAAAAATTTTATCATATGATACTATGACTTTTTTAACATACTATAATATGAAATTATTTTCATACTAAAATTTCAATTTCTTTATAATAAACTATGACAATTTTTAAACTAAAGTTTGAAATTTCTATCATAATTTACAATGGCATTTTTTTTGCATTATGTGATTTTTTTTCAAACATTATTCAAGATAACATTTTATTGATACTGTAATAATAACTTTTTAAAAACATATTAAACTATGACTTTTTTTTCCCATACTTAAATTTGAAATTTGTATTATACCATATGATGAGTCTTTTTTTTAACATACTACAATAAGGCCTTTTTTAATATTTAAATTTGACATTTTTATTTTACTATACCTTGACATTTTTCAACATACTTTTCTATGACATTTTTTATATTAAAACTTGGTATTTTATCTTCCTATACTGACATTTTTAACATACAATACAAGGCCTTTTTTGTACTAAAATTTGACATTTTTATTATACTTTACTATGACATTTTTATCATACTACATTTTTTAATGTTAAAATTTGAAATTTTTATCACACTTTACTAGGACACAAAGAGAATCGGAAACCAGGTTAAATTTAAAAGAAAAAAACAATTTATTTAATGGTTCTATAAAAATTACAAACAGCTGTCAAGGAGGAAATAGCGAAATAACAAAATTAAAATTCAATACACTCTAATAAATAATATATCTTACGTGCTCTCTCAGAAAGGAAACTTATACAAACCTAAACTGACTCCCTAACCAGATAAACAGGAGAAAACAACACTGAAGCTATTCTCCCTGAAATTCTCAAGCTAAACACACACACACTATTACAATTCTCAATATGACACACAAAGTTGGAGGTGAGGAAGGAGGGTCGGCGTCTGCGGCGTCTTTAAAACAGCCACCATCAGCTCTCAGCTAATCCCGGCCTGCCACCCGACTCCACTCCTCCAGTCAGCCACTGATACGTGCTTCGCCGTTATCCGATCGGGCCAAGCCAAACCTGTAGCGTAGGAGCACAAAGGAAGAGTAAACTGTAAACAAGCAGATAACAACATATATGACCAGAAGACATACCAACTATGACATTAAAAAATGCTATACTATGATATATTTTTTTTTTATCACACTATACTATGACACTTTTATCATACTATACAATGACATTGTATAGTATGACGACATTTTTTGAAATTTTTTTCGTACTAAATTATGATCTTTTTATCAGACTATACTATGACATTTTTATCATACAATACTATGGTATTTTTATCACACTATAACATGACATTTTTTATTATACTATCCTATGAGATTTGTTAACAAACTATACTATGAAATTTTTATCCTTCTTGAGCAGATTGACAACATGTTAAAGCATTTATTTCAAAAGTCTCAGACAAAATAGTCTTTAAAGTATTTTGTCAGTTTCATAATAAATTTGATGCTTTTTAATAGTCTTTGTTAGAGCAAAAAAGATATACTTTGTACTTTTTTTGATCATTAATGAACTAAATACAACTAAAGAGTCAGATTTTTGTGTGTTATCAGTAAAAATGTCAAAGTCAGTAACCATAGAATATTCATAAATGTATATATTCATTGATTGTAAATCAAATATGCTCCCATTTTTGCTCAATTTATGAAATACTGGCATTTTATCAGTATTGGTCTTCAGGGAGAGGTAATGATCAGTTATCAGTTTTAGGTCAGAAAGTTAAATTATCTTTGATAGCATGCTTAGTTAGCTCTGTTTTCTCCACTCTTTTAGGTAAGAACGAACTGAACTAACAGATATGTTAAACCCATAAACTTGTTTGATTGTGGTTTTTATTAATCCAAAAAAAGACCTGAACATGAAAACCGTTTCTAAGAAAAACAAGTTGGTGTCTTTTATGGCATCTTCTTTTGATCTGACAACCCTATAAAATGGAATTATTCAAGGTGGATACGCATTGAGCCAAAAATTCCTCTCATTTGAAAAGACAGAAATCCGCAGTGACATTTTTTCTTTTTTGTATTTTAAGTTGCTAAATTTTTGTTGGTGGACTGAATAACTGTGAAAAACCTGGAAAATAAAGTGGCGCCTATGCCTTGCTCACAGCCCAAAATCATCTGTTTGAAGGCCTCCAATCATCTGACCCTGAAAACTGTCATGTCTCACTTTTACAAGTACCTCGTCAGATATCCTCCCTGAACATTCAGTATGATGATCTGCCTTTTTTATCTTGTTTTTTCTCCCTCTGCCCTAGAGTCACTGGAAGTCACTTGTCACTATGTTTGTCTTGCCCTGCTCGAGTTTTACTTCTTACAGATCAATAGAGCTTTTTTACTACATGAAGTTATAAAATGACCCAGACAGCAGATGTGTCTTAGGTGTCACAATACTTCAAGAGCGGGCTGGTCACACTGTGTCCAATAACGCTGCGTGACACTGAGTGATGGTGCTATTAACCTAACTTGTGAAATTTAATACTGACAGATTCCTGCAAGAGTTTGTGCTCCTTTCTATCGGTCAGATAAATATCCTGCAAGGTTACTATTGATCACTGCTGCCGCTGAATTCAGCGTGGCATTTTCATGATCACAGTTCATTGCTCCTTCTTATACCTCCTTTTCTCCATCCTGCCTCACCCCCACACACTTCCAGGAGACGCAGCTCCCAGCAGGGAGAGGGTCAGCTCAGAGGAGACTTCAACCTGTCAGAAAAAATTCACATCTAGCCCCTCATGCCTCCCTTCACCATCTAACCACCCCACCCACCCTGTCTCCCACGTCTCTCTGGCACCCATCACTCCTCTTTTCCTCCGCTACCCTCCTCCTCCTCTTGCCATTTGATTCAGATCACTGAGTTAGCCGGCGTCTCCCTTTGTCTGCGGCTCCATTTTGGCTGGCAGATGGACAGGAGGAGAGGAGATGGACTCACATTGAGGGGAGTATATACGTGTATGGACGTGTAAGAGAGACGGAAGAAGAGAAAGAAAGGAGGAAGGAGAGAAACTTTTCTGGGAGGTAAAATGTCAAATAGCAATGAAGTGAGGAGACTTTTATCTGTCAAACCTGTGTGAGGTCTTGCCTTTCAGGCTCTTGAGTGACAAGGCTACACTTAAAAGTGAAGTCGTGATGCTAAAGTG